TTGGCGGCAGCAGTGGCAGAGATGGGCGAAGGGGGCCGTTGGAGGAGGAGGCAAAGCAGCACGCGGGCTTGTTAAAGAAACACAACAGCTACGACCGCCAGAAGACGACGCAGGTACCCCCCTTTATAGGCGACGCGGCCGTTGCCAGCCTGCGCGACTCTTGGGGCGCCATGTGGCGCGACGCGAAGGCTCGCCTGACAGACGTTGGGCGAGTCGCTGTCCAGAATGCCTCCTTGCCGCAACCGCCGCTCGAGATGCCCGATGCAGCCCTAGCGCGTTTCCTTCGCAGTGTTGGTCTAGGAATTGATGGCATCGACCCGAAATCCCGGCATCTCTTGGACTCTGACTTCAGAAACCGTTTCTTGGGCACGTTGATCTCTGGGGGGGGGGGGGGGCATCGCTCTCGGACAATTGGCCGACTATGATCGCGTTCGCTGGGGAGCCTGAGTCCTCTAACTTCCGACCTCTGGCTCTGGTTATTTTCCCCGGGCAGACCTCGGGCTCGACTGAGGCGAGACCTCGCCCGATCCTGGGAACAACGGCGTCAGATCTCGGCTTTTTGGGGCTGCTCGACCAAAGAATGCGTCGCTGCAGGTTGGGGGCGAAATATTATGACCCACTATGCGAAGACTATCGACTTTGATACTGGGACCCTGTTCACCGACCTCCGAAAGGTTACGAGCGCATATCGCAGTTCAGGTTGTTCGAAGAGGTTATCGCCGTCGAGTTTAACTTCAATCTTATGTATACAGCGTGCAGCTTGCATTCGGAACCTCGATGCCGCGCCTTCCAGGACGCTATCTCGGATGTGTGTTCGGGCAAATGGAACTCTTCGCCGGATGCTTGCTCGCATCAAGTCTAGTTAAAGTGTAACTATATCCACTATTGGTTGTTCTCGCCAGGAGTGTAATCGATGACGTTCGTGCTCAGTGCTTAGGATTGTGCCGCATTGTTGCTGAGCAGCTTGGTGGTGCAGGACGAATGTTGGAATCGTGATTTCGTCGTCTGGAGTTGGTCTTGGCAGCGCACGAGACCGCTTCATCGCCTCCAGCCCCGAGCTAGCGGACTCTGTGACTGCAGAGTGGAAGGGCTACGGCTTCGTCTGGAAAAAGCACACGCACTCCCTCGGCACGGACTCTCACTCCTCCAAGAGGCGAGTTCTGAACAGCAGGCGCTCGGTTCAGGAAAGGTATTCGGCGATCGATCAAGCTGATGAAGTTAAAGCAAGCCGGTTCTAAAATATGCCAAATACAGAGATCAGGACAACGGGCCGCTGCTCTTTGGGGCTCAGGAGTGTCAGGGCTTAGCGGTCGACAGATTCATCTCACGAGGCGTGTTGCGGTGACCAGCCTTCGCGTGAACAACGAGGGCGCGTCTGTCGGTCTCAAACTGGCCACGACCAAGATCGGCCGCATCATGGGCCCCTTCTGCCTCTACCACTCCCAGGTCATAGGTTTCTGGGCGCGCGCCGTCTGGGTAGGTAGGCCCTCGCCTGGCATTCTCCAGACTGTTTTGGTTTCGGCTGCCGATGACCTCGAGCGGGCCCGTAGCCTGTGGGCCTCGGCGACCAGTCCTGCCCTCGTGTTTTTGTTGTCTGTCCAACAGCTAGGCCCGTCGGCCCCTGCTGCCGATCGCATCAGAATCGACGCTGGGCTTGCCCCTAAACAGGTTGTGTGGCTGGCCCGCAGAGCTGCTCGTAATGTCTCGGATGTGGCCGCGTTCAGTAACGTGGAAGAGTCGCCTGGCTGGGCTCTCCCGATTTTCTGGCGCCCACTGGCCAGGCTTCTGGAGGGCCGCGCGTCGGACGCCTGGGCGGCCAGGCGCCAGTCGAGCCTTCGCTCGCTCATTTCTCAGCAGCACCGGTGCCGGGCTAAGCATGCGCGCCGCAATACATCCGAGACTAATATTTGCCAGGTTTGCAACAAATATCCTGGCGAAAGACCCAACCATACGCAAGTGTGAGAACCGCAGGGCAGGCGGGACGAAGCAAGGGGACTTTCCTATGGGGCCACGAACCGTGTGAGGGGGTGCGCCAAAATGGCGCGGGGCCGCCATGCGAACTCTGCCACTGGGGCCTTCGGTGGAGCTCCCTATGGGGCCACGAACCAACTGAGGGGTGCGCCAAAATGGCGCGGGGCCGCCATGCGAACCCTGCCACCGGGGCCTTCGGTGGAGCTCCCTATGGGGCCACGAACCGTGTGAGGGGTGCGCCAAAATGGAGCGGGGCCGCCATGCGAACCCTGCCACCGGGGCCTTTCGTGGAGCCCTCTGCGAGGCCACGAACCGTGTGAGGGGTGCGCCAAAATGAAGCGGGGCCACCATGCGAACCCTGCCGCTGGGGCCTTCGGTGGAGCCCTCTATGGGGCCACGAACCAAGTGAGTGCGCCAAAATGAGGCGGGACCGCCATTCGAACCCTGCCACTGGGGCCTTCGATGACTCCCTATGGGGCCACGAACCGTGTGAGGGGTGCGCCAAGATGAAGCGGGGCCACCATGCGAACCCTGCCACTGGGGCCTTCGGTGGAGCTCCCTATGGGGCCACGAACCGTGTGAGGGGTGCGCCAAAACGCGAGGTCGCCATGCGAACCCCTGCCACTGGGGCCTTCGGTGGAGCTCCCTATGGGGCCACGAACCGTGTGAAGGGTGCGTCAAAAGGCGGGGCCGCCATGCGAACGCCTGCCACTGGGGCCTTCGGTGGAGCTCCCTATGGGGCCACGAACCGTGTGAAGGGTGCGTCAAAAGGCGGGGCCGCCATGCGAACTCTGCCACTGGGGCCTTCGGTGGAGCTCCCCATGGGGCCACGAACCGTGTGAGGGGTGCGCCAAGATGAAGCGGGGCCACCATGCGAACCCTGCCACTGGGGCCTTCGGTGGAGCTCCCTATGGGGCCACGAACCGTGTGAGGGGTGCGCCAAAACGCGGGGCCACCATGCGAACCCTGCCACTGGGGCGTTCGGTGGAGCTCCCTATGGGGCCACGAACCATGTGAGGGGTGCGCCAAAATGGGGCGGGGCCGCCATGCGAACCCTGAAACTGGGGCCTTCGCTGTACTGGGTGGGTGAAACGCAGGGAGGAGGGAGGAAAAAGACGAGGAGGAGGAGGAGGAGGAGGAGTAGGAGGAGGGGGAGGAGGGAAGGAAGGAAGGAAGGAAGGAAGGAGGAGCGCGGGGCACCGTCTCTTCAAAACGAGGACCCAACACCACAGGATGGTTGGGAATAAACCAGGAACTCCCTGGCAGTGGCGTTTCATCTGTCCCCATTGGGCCGCCGACCGCGAGAAGTACTGTAGCCGACGACAGCTCCGCTGTGCTGCTGTGCTTAAGTTGGCGGGGCAAGATCTCGATGTTGCGGCTCGTGGTATTTTCCCCATGCCGATAGAGGTTGTGCATCGGCCCTTTTGGAACCGTGGGCGCAGTATACTTTGGATAATGCAGCCCGAAGTAGGCCACCTCTCTGGAGATGTGTTTTATTGACTGTTCGGGCCTCCACCCATCCTTTCCCCCCTCCAGGAGAGCTGGCTGGCCCCCCACCCAGCTCGCCGACGACGGCTCCCTTTTGGGAGCTGTTTGCGGGGCGGTGTCTTGGGACTTTGGGCCCTTCCAGGTGGCTCGTGAAGGGGGGGGCGTCGCGAGCCTTCAGGGTGCGAGAGGCCTCGTGCGAGGCGATGTTGTCTTCCGCATAGACTGCCGAGGCGCGATTGATGCTGTCAATGGTACGTGCGCTTCCACTTCGGCCAGACGTTTCAGGTGCCGCCGCCGGGGAGAGATTCATATAAAGCCCTTCGTCAATCAGAGATGCCAAAGGGAAAGCACATGTGCCCAAAGCTGCAGCTGATGAAGATTGGGTCTCTGAATTTGAATGGAATGGCAACCGAGCCGCTGACACGTATGCAGGTCGTGGTGTTGACCAGCGCCCTGACACCAATGAATGCAAGCACGCCCTCGACGTCCCCCGTGAATGTCCAGGAGTTCGCAATGGATGTCAAGGAATTCGCGCGTTCGGCTGCCACCCAAGAGGTTTTAATCGTTGAGCGCGAAGACTACGATGCCCTTCCTCTCCTTTCTCGTGGGCCCTCTGGGGTGGAGGTGGGTGGGTAAGCGAATGCTCCCTTCAGGAGCCGCCAACGGAGGCCTAAGCGCCCGCTTCGAGAGCTGGCTCCCGAGGTCTCGGAAGAACTCAACACGCTCGCTGCCCTCCACGGGCGCGCATTGAGACAGGCCGAGGTGTTTCTTCCTTCTGGGCTCCCGCCCGCTCCGCCCAAGTGCCCCGCGGTCTTTGTCTGTGCTGTTTGCGGAGGATATGCGTGGGGGGCCGTCCTCAGCCTCGCCAAACTTCGGAACGTGCCGCCACCTACTGAAACGCCGCGCGAACAGCGTTATCGTGCCCGCAAGTAGCAGTTTCCACGTGGCTCTCGACAGTGCAATGGCTGGATTGGGGTTCTGAAAGACCCCTCACCCCGCAGGCGATTGCGGCCGTGCTTGCTCCCGAAGCTGCTAACTTATGTGGACGTCAGCGAACGTCCGATTTCTCCGTTCCTGGTGTGGCGGTTTGGGGGGAGTGTTGAGACATCGATCACATTGCGGCTGCCTTTGGCTTGTCCGCAGAAGGTTTGGCCTCAGCAGCCCCGGATAAAGCCGAGGAGGCTAAGCGTAATGCCATCAGAGCTTCAGAAGAAGACCAGCCATAACGTACTGTGCGTTTTCCCTTTTTGTGCCCAGAAATAGACCGATTTTTGTAATGTGATGTCATTGAACCCTTGGATTGCCCCTGGTGCTTCGGGATGCGCGAGGAGGAGGAGGAAGAGGAGGAGGAGGAGGCGGAAACGAAGAGGAGGTTTAGGAGGAGGAGGAGGAGGAAGCGGAGGAGAAAGAGGAGGAGGTTTGGGAGGAGGAGGAGGAGGAAACGGATGAGGAAGAGGAGGAGGAGGAAGAGGAGGAGGAGGTGGAAGAGAAGGAAGAAGAGGAGGCGGAGGAAGAGGACCGCGCGCGCGCAAGCGCGCGAGGGCTACGGCGGCAGGGCTGCTGCCGCCCGTGCTGCGGTTCGCGCCCCCGCTGCACGGGGCTTCGCTGAACGCCCCGCGCCCGGCAGCGGGTTGGGGTTCATTGTTTCTTTTCCTCCTCCTTTTCTTCCTCCCCCGCCTCCTCCTCCGCCTCTTCCTCCGCTTCCTCGTCCCATTCCGCTTCCTACTCCTCCGCCTCCGCCGTTTCCTCTTCTGCCCTTCTCCTCCTCCTCCTGCTGTTGTTCATCCTCCTGTTCTTCCTCTTCCGCCTCCTCCTCCGCCTCCTCCTCTGCATCATACTCCTCCTCCTTCTCCCCCCCCCCTTCCTCCTCCGCTTCCTCCTCTCACGCCTCTTCCTCCTCCACCTCCGCCTCGGCCGCTGCTTCCTCCTCCTCTCCTCCTCCTCGTCCTCGTCCTCCTCCTCCCCCTCCTCAGCCTCTTCCATTTTCTCTTCCCCCTCCTCCTACCGACTACTACTACTACTACTACTACTACTACTACTACTACTACTACTACTACTACTACTACTACTACTACTACTACTACTACTACTACTACTACTACTACTACTACTACTACTACTACTACTACTACTACTACTACTACTACTACTACTACTACTACTACTTACTACTATACTACTACTACTACTACTACTACTACTACTACTACTACTACTACTACTACTTACTACTACTACTACTACTACTACTACTACTACGACTACTACTACTACTACTACTACTACTACTACTACTACTACTACTACTACTACTACTACTACTACTACTACTACTACTACTACTACTACTACTTACTACTACTACTACTACTACTACTACTACTACTACTACTACTACTACGACTACGACTACTACTACGACTACTACTACTACTACTACGACTACTACTACTACTACTACTACTACTACGACTACTACGACTACTACTACTACTACTACTACTACTGACTACTACTACGCTACGCGCTACCACTACTACGACGACGACGACTACTACTACCACTACTACGATTACATATACCTATGCTACTACTGCTGCTGCTACTACTACTGCTACTACTACTACGACTACTTCTACTGCTACTACTACTTTTGCTACTACTACTACTTCTACTACTACGACTGCTGCTACTACTACTACTACTACTACCATGTCTACTACTACCATCATCACCAATACTATTATCACTACCAGTACCACTGCGACTTGTACTACCACTACTACTACTACTACCACTACTACTACTACTACTACTACTACCACCACTACTACTACTACTACTACTACTACTACTACTACTACTACTACTACTACTACTACTACTACTACTACGACTACGACTACGACTACGACTATTATTACTACTACGACGACTACTACTACTACTTCTACTACGACTACTACTACCACTACTACTACGAGTTCTACTACTACTATTGCGACTACTACTACTACCACTACTACTAGTACTACTTCTACCACCACTACTACTACTATTGCCACTACTACCACTACACTACACTACTACTACTACTGCCACAACTACCATTACTAATACTACGCTAATGCAACTATTACTACCACTACTACGAGTACAACGACTAATACTACAACTGCTACTACCACTATTGTCACTGCTGCTATTACTACCAATAGTACTCTCCTTGCTACTGCTACCACCTACTACCCCGACTACGATTACTACTGCTACTACCACTACTACTACTACTACTACTACGACTACTACTACTACCACTACTACTACTACTACTACTACTACTACCACTACTACCCCGACGACTGTTACTATTATGCTTACTACCATTACGATTACTAATACTACCACTACTACTACTACTACTACTACTACTACTACTACTACTAGTACTACTACTACTACTTCTTCTACTACTACTACTACTACTACGACCACTACTACTTCGACTACTACTACTACTACTACTACTACTACTACTACTACTACGACGACTACTACTACTACTACTACTACTACTACTACTACCACACTTCCACTACTACTACGACTACCGCGAATCCAACTACTACTGCCGCTTCTACGGTTACTACTACTAGTACTTCTACTACTAATACGACGACGACTACTACTACTACGGCCATCACGGCTACTAGTACTACCGTTGCTACTATTTGTGCTTTGACTACTATTACTATTACTAATACGACGACTACTCCTACTACTACTACTACACGACTAGTATTCCTACCACTATTGCTAATGCTGCTACTACTACTACTACTACTACTACTGCTACGACTGCTACTACTGCTAGTACTACTACTACGACTACTACTACTACTACTACTACTGCTACCTTCACCAGTACACTTACAACTTCTATTATTACTCCGGGTACAACCCGTACTACTACTACTACTGTTACTACTACTACTGCTGCTACTACTACTACTACCACGACCGCTACATATACTTTTCCTATTACTACGACTACGACGACTATTGCTACTACTACTATTACTACTACTACTACTACTACTAGTACTACTACTACTACGGCTACTGCTACTACTACTACTACTACTATTACTACTACTACTACTACTACTACGACTATACCTACTACGACTACTACGGCGACGACTGCGACTACACAAATATTTTCCACCTCGTACTAATACGAGTACTAGTACTACTACTAGTACTACTACTACTACCACGTCTACTTCGACGACGACGAGGACTATTATTACTACTACTACTACTACGACTACGACGACGACGACGACGACTACTACTACTACAGTTGCGAGTGCGACTTCGACTTCGACGACTACCACCACCACCACCGCCACCACGACTGCTGCTGCTGCTACTGCTACTACTACTATTACTACTACTACTACTACTACTACTACTACTACTACTACTACTACTACTACTACTACTACTACTACTACTACTATTACTACACTACTACTACTACTACTACTACTACTACTACGACTACTACTACTACTACTACTACTACTACGACTACTACTAGTACGATCAGTTCTACTACTCTTACTACCACAACTACGACTACTACTACGACTACTACTACTACTATTATTATTACTACTACTACTACGACTAGTACGAGTACTACTACTAGTACTACTATTACTACGACTGCTAGTATTTCTCTTACTACTGCTGTTGCCACTGCTACTGCTACTGTAACTGCTACTGCTACTACTACGACTACTCCAACTTCTACTACTACTACTTCTTTTAGTACTACTACTACAACAGCTACTACTACTACTACTACTACTACTACTACTACTACTACTACTACTACTACTACTAGTACTGCTACGACTAGTCTTGCTACCAGTACCCTACTACGATTACTACTCCTCACTACCGCTGTAACTCCTACTACTATTGCTACTACAGCTACTTCCACTGCTACGACCACTGCTACTACTACGATTACGAATTCTACTTCTAATACGGCAACTAGCACTACTGCCACTACTACCACTACTACTACTACTACTACTAGTACTACTACTACTACTACTACTACCAGTAGTAGTACTAGTACTACTACTACTACTATTACTACTACAAGTACTAGCACTTGTACTAGTACTAGTAGTAGTAATAGTACTACTACTACTACTACTACTACTACTACCACTACTAGTACTACTATTACTACTACTACTACTACTACTACTAACT